TAATAAAATATAATATAAAACTAATATAATATCAATAATATAAAATAATATTTAAAAATATCTATAATATTACAATAGCAATACCAAATGTTGATACCAATAAATGACATCAATAATACTTAAAAGCAATAATAGCAAGACATCAATACTATAAAAAAAAAAAAGGTTAGTATGCAAAAAAATTTATTTTTTATACAAGTGCTAATTTGTGTAACTATATTTAAAAAAAAATTTTTTAAAAAAAAAATTTGGTAAAAAAGCCAAACTGGGCCAGACTTTCTATAACCTCTTGTGCTAATATAGTGTTTCAAGTTGGTCAATCAATTAGTTGCCAACTATAGTTGCAACTAATTGATTTTTATATCATTTGACTAAATTTGTTGCTCATTTTAGGTTTTCTATTTGCAATTTCAGATACTGTACTTGTAATCTGGATTATGAATAGGTTAATGATGCAACCAAGATTCAGAGTTAGCATTATACAATAATATCAGTCAACTATATTACAGTAAAACTATAATCTAGATAGCTTTACTTAGTATGTGGCTACTATTTTATTAGTAAAATTATAAGAAAAATTTATTAATACTGGCCTATTATGACTCCAAATTTTGGTCAATCTGCTAAATTTTGATTGCTCTACTAATCTATTCTTACTTAATTCATTTGAAATAGACTAATTATTTTCAAACTTTTAACTGCTATACTATAGTTAAGATTTAAAGTTTTATAAAAAAAAACATTACTTTATTTAAAAATTTTAATATATTAAGTTAAAATTTTAAAATTTTAATTTAAAAAATAATTAAAATTTTAAATTTTAAAAAAATCAAATTTTTAAATTTAAAAAAAATTAAATTTTAAAATAAAAAAATTTTAAATTTAAAAAATTTTAAATTTATAAAAATTTTAAATTTATAAAAAAAAAAACATTCTATTGCATTACTTTAATTCTCTTTATAGGAAGTGGTATATTCTTGCCATTTACTTTAATGATTGCTATATGATTATTAGAAGTTAATCACTTAAATATATCTTCTTGAGAAAATGTTGATTGTAGTTTTCATTTTTGAGTTTAGGGGTTTGTATTATAATCCAGCACAATGATAACCTTAGTACCAGGCTCAATTGTATTATTTGGTGACTTTTTTCAGTAAACACTTCCATACTGATATATTTTTTCATGATATTTTCCTAATGCATCATTTACTGATTATTGAATTTTTGATATTTGCAAAATACATTCTTCAATAGCATTTGTTACTGCTTCTGCTGTTGATTCTGCTGTTTCTTTTGCCATTGCTGCTTTTGCTATTGTTGCTTTAGCTGTTTCTGTTTCTGCTATTTTTGCCTCGACTGTTGCTGCTGCTTGTGCCATTGCTGCTTTTGCTGCTTCTGCTACTTTTGCTATTACTTCTGCTACTGCTTCTGTCATTACTTCTAACTAGAAAATGCTAGATGTTTTCATAAACACTATGCATTTTCTATCCAAATATAATTTTATATAGTATGTAACTATGTGCTCTGTGAATTGATGAATTATATGATATAACAAATAAATCTACAACATTAATTCAGTTTTTTTGTTGTAATTAGTTGTTGTTATTATATAACAATTTTGTAAACTTATGGCCAATAGTTTGATTGAGGCATTCCACTTGTTCTTGGGTTTGTAAGTAGCAGGAGTGCCTGTGTTTGATTGTAATATTTAACATTTTACATATTTGTGTAATGATTTGTCTTACAAACTTTTTACTATTATCACTTTGCATAACAATCAGTAGCCCCAAAATCTTAAAAACATCCCTAACTAAATGCATTGTAACAGTGCCATTTTTTTTATTTTTCATAGGAATTGCAATCAAATATTTTGAAAAAATGCATACACAGATAAGCAATTATGCAAACCCATAATTTATCTTGATAAACTTCTGAAAATCAATAAGATTGATTTAAATCTAATACTATGGTGCCATTGAAGCAACAGGTTTTATATCTGTTTCTTTTTAATTGAACTATTAATAGAACAAATAGTTCATTCATTAATATATTCTTGCACATTTTGTTGCATAATGCCAATGTGCTTTTCTGAAAATGCAGTAAATGTCTTATAATAACTGCAATAGTTAGCTCAATCATGAAAATAATCTAACAACAAAACACTTTACTCATTATCATAAAGAGGAACTATATAACATCTTCTAAATTTGGCTTCACCATTTTTATAAACTGCTAAAAGGTAAAAAATCCTGTTTTTGTCAACCTCAAACTTTTTGCACCACTTTGCAAAATTATATTTATTCACAGGACCAACAAAATTTAAAGAAATAGTCTTGGATTGAAGATAAAATACAATCAACTGGTATTTGGCTAATGTTTTAGGAATTTTCAAAATTGCAGATATAACTAACTTGGTAAAAATAAAAAAAAATTTTTTTATTATCATATAAAATTGATGTTTTGATCTTATATCAACCAATCATATTCTGAGATTAAATGTAATATAAAAACAGAAAAATCATTAAAGTTAGCAGTAGAGTTTGATTAAAGCATATATTATATCAAAATTTGACAAAAGATTTTTTTAATAGAATATAAGTGATTACATAAACAAGACTTGAGCTACAAAGAATTTTTCATAAAAGTACATATTTTCACATTATAAATTTAATTGGCTATGTAGAATTTATTATTGATTATTATAAAATGCAAAAAAATAAAAAAAACTAATATTTTTTAATAATTTAATTAAAACAAAACTAAAATTAAGATTTGGGAGTAGCAACAAAGAAGATCATTTATAAGTAAACCTGCAGCCATGATGTGCTTCTATTTTCTGAACTATATTATCCTAATAACAAATAATAAGTATAACTTTATTTAAAAAAACTAGATTATATGATAAGAGACTAACCCTAATCTTGTTTTATATTTTACACAATTTAAGACCCATACTATGTGTTTTAATAATTAAGTCAACTTTTTAGAATATCAAGATGCATTTGGTACTAGTATCAATTTTAGTTCTCTGTAAATAGTGTAAAAAAAGTAAGCCTTAATTCAAAATAAATTGATCATAAATCAACTAACTTACCTTTTTTTATTATTATTATTATTATTATTATTTTCAGGCAACAGAGAAGGATGTTCATGGGTAATCCTGTAGCTATGATGTGCTTCTGTTCTCTAATTCATATTACTCTAATAACAAATAGTAAATACTAGAAAAACAAATATTATGAATGCTAAAGCTTTTAATTTTACAAGATTTTCTATTTTGTTAGGCTGATTTGTATCGATCTGTTATATTAATTTAAACTCTGATTGGATATATATCATATGAGTAGAACCTAAAACATTTTGTGTATTTATATCTCTATTGTAAGTCCTTGCTATACTTCAGACAATAACATTAAATAAAAACTAGTTTATAATAAAAAAACTAACCTTTTTTTATATTCCACACTATCCAAAACCTACGTTGTGTATTTTAGTAGTTAAGACAACTTTGTAGAACATCACAACACATTTTGCACATTTTGTGCCAGTATTAATTTTGATTCCTTGTCAAAAATATATATATAAAAAAATAAGCCTCGATTCAAACAAAGCTGAATTAATCACAAATTAACTAACTAACCTTTATTTTTTGTTTTATTTTATTTTATTTTATTTTTTTATTTATTTTATTTTTTTTTATTTTTATTTTATTTTTTAGGATTGGGGCATAATAGAGAAAGATGTTAATGGATAAGCCATAGTCACAACTCACTTTCATATCTTTGAGCTAATCAAAAAATAGTATGTTCTTTTTAAAATACTAGATTGTAAGAAGTAAATATAATATTCAACCAAACTTATCATGATCCAAACTTTTTTTTTTTAAGCTTTAGATCTTAGCCTATTGTAGTTAGAAAAAGAAAAACCATTCTTTTTAACCAAATATAAGCTTTTATTTTAATTTTTATTATACAGTAGCTCTTAATATAACAGATAAGTTTAATATGAAAGATTATAATAAAGCCAAATTATAATTTTCAATATATCATGAAATTTTGATATTATGAAGCTTTTGATATAAGGAGCAAAGAACTGGAACCATGGCCTTTGTTATATCAAAAAACACTATATATAATAATGTGAAATTTCTTTACTTCATATCTAATAAAAGCATTGAATTTATTGTTAAAATAAACTGGAATATATTATTTTTTTTTTAAAAAAAGCTCATATTTTAGCTTAAATTCTATATTATAATGACAAAAAAAATAATTCAAAAAAGAAAAAAATTTTTTCCACATTTAGGTTCATTTTTAAATAGGCAGGATTGTGTTTTTTTAAATAATGATGTACCTACTATTACATATTGAACCAAAATTTAGCTTTCTTGTAATGATGTAAGAAAAGTTAGCATTAGCATTTTGAGAAAAACTAGAATTACATTTTATATTAAATCCTTAAGCCACACTTCAGATATTTCTATCTTTTTTTTTTAGCCTTTAATCATCAGCTTGTGTTTTCTATAAATTCCAAAAAAAAATAAATAAATAAAGTTCTGCATGTCTAGAGTGTTAAATTAAAGCATGGTTTTTCTCCAAGGCTTAATAATAGAACTAGAACTAATCACAAAGTACTTAGATATAGTATGTACATATATACAAACATACATATATACATACATTTTTTTTAAAAATACTATTCAAATTTTAGTTTACTTATTGTAATGCTCTTGCTTATTTGTTATCTGTTATTTAAAGTATTGTTATACCACAAAATATACAAAATTATGTAATTGCATGTAACTTATATATCCTGGTTTATAGTAGAAATCAAAAAAATTACATATATATAAAATTACTCTTTATTAGTATTTTGATCTTATTTTTGAAAACCATTTGGATTATATTAAATCCGGATTGAATCTGTCTCAGATTATATATTAAAGCTAACTTTTGGGCACATCTTTAGGTTTGTTATTTAAGTTCTTTAACTAATTCAAATAAACATCTCTGATTTGGATAGCTGAATTTATCTAGATTTAAGAATCAATTCAGATTTTGGATTACAGATTAAAACACTACTCTTTATGCAATTTTACTATATACTATCATAACCAGAGTTGATGATTTTTTGTTCATGCTAAATTGTAAATTCTGCATATCAAATTGCTAAATTCTGCAAGGTTTTCATAGTATTTTTATAGTTTCTGTGATCTTTTGGTATAAAATTTCAAAATTTTTTCTTTATATTTCCTAAAAAAAAAAAAAAAATCTCATTCAAAAACAAAAAAAAATCTAAAAAAAGAACAAAGAGAGTAATATTTAAATTTTTCAACTGTTTTCTGTGACAATTTTGCAGTATTTTATTATGCAGTTTTGTAATATTTATAACATCTTCTGCATGTACCTCTCAATTCTATGATTTCTTAGAATTTTGCACAACACAAAAAATCGTTGGCCTTGATCATTAACTCTAACAAATAAATTTAAGAATTTTGTCAAATTTGATGATGCATCTAATTGATACATCTAATTGACAAACCCATATTTATATTATTATGATCTATATTGCAGATCATGTAATTTTCAGCATCATCTGATTTCAGTATCAGCTCCCACAATAAATATATATATAACTACTAATACTATTATTTAAACTATATTTCAGCCAAATTTGTCTAGAAAATTAAATTGTTGCTACAGAGTTGTAGCCTTTTTGATACAATACAACCAAGTAACAAGATCATCTGGTACAGTGATTGACTATTGCAAATATATATGAGGTGAAGATGTAATAGTTCACTTTACTATATAGCAGCAAGCAAATAGTTAAAGATAGTAACAGTATATAGATTAACTTTTATTAAATAAATATATAGTAACAACCTTGCCTGTAGGAATTATCCTAAAGGGGGAGTATCACTTTTACAAGTTAGGAGTAAAGGTAAAAAGGTCTAGGTTGAAGTATAGGAACTTAGAATTGGCAGAGAAGGATAAAAGCTACCCTTTATATATCTTTTTATCTAGCAGAGATAGTGAAGATTCGAGCAACATTACTTGATACTGTACTCAGAGTAATAGAAATTCGAACAACATTAGATATAATTATACTTGGGATAGTGGAGGTTCAAACAACATTAAATAATACTGTGCTTGGAATAGTAAAGACTGTACAAAGGCAACTGGGGATATTGTTTATATAATTTGTCATTCATACTTGAAACACTTGAGGCTTGTGTTTAGGCACTTGGATCTGTGCAAAGGCACTTGAGATTTGTGCAGAGATACTTGAAG